ACCATGCCTACCAACATCCATCTTTTCCTTCTACCTCCTAACTTCTTCTCTGAAGAGAGAATCTTTGCTCATTCCCATTCAGAAGGATAGAGGTAGAATATTTAAAGAGAATCAGACAGTGACAGTGCTGGGAATGTTTGGGTCTAAGATCTACAACAGCTGGCATACTATTTGAAACCAAATATGATTTTTAACATATTAAACCGTATCTAACAGCCTTTGCTCTTTTATACATAATTTTACACATATTTAATTTATACACATAGATTAGGTATAAGGTGGTACTTATAAACAAAGCTCAAATCTTTTTTCTTCTAAGCTTCCAAATCAATGCTTCTGGGTATTTGTGGTCTGTATCATAGCTCCTGAAAATACAGCCCTTATCACTGCCGCAGCAGCTTTGCCTGGGAGGAGGGTAGAAACAGATTCTTCCCAGACGTGGCAGCTCACACTTGGAATCCCAGCATTTGAGTCCTCCAGTAGTGGAAGGAAGAAGGTCTTGAATTTGAGGCCCTTTGGGGCTGTATAGCAAGTTCCTGGCCGGTCTGGGACCCTGTCTCAGAAGACCAAGGACTGATGACGGAGCTCAATGGTAGAGTGCTTGTAAGGTCTAGTGTTCGTTCTCAGCAGCATGGGGGGAAGATGGGAGAGGGGTATTCTTAAGATCTGCCTAAGGATCCCAACACTATCCATCATCTGGACACTGCTCCCAGGCTAATTGCATGTATGTTAAAGTTTAAGAGGCATTGCCCTTCAACTGCTTTACAAATGCTAGACAGGAAATAATTGGCCAGTGACTAGAGCTAGGATTTTCCATGGAACTTAGGCTGGGCAGGGACTTTTATGAGCTCGCAAAATTTCTAAGTTGAAAGCCTAGTTTGTAATGTCTTTGGACGCAGAGCCTCAAGGAAATCAGTTTAATGGTTTTCCATTTCATTTCAATAAGGTATTGTTGTCTCAGTATGAAATGTCTGATATGTTCATCATGTATTCGAGGCTTAGTCCTTAGCTGGTGCACTATTGTAGAGGTGGTAGCATCTTTAGGTGGTAGGGTATAATAAGAGAAAGTGAGTTTCTGGTGGTATGCCTTCAAAGTGTATATAGCTTGACCTTTGTCCCTTCCTATTACTTTCTGTTTCCTCGTTTCTAGAACGTGGCAGCCTTCTCTACCACAGGATCCCCCTGCCCTGCTGTGCCCCCTTGCCTCAGGTCTAAGGCAAAGGATCTGGGCATCCTTAGAAACCTCGGAAGTCATGACCCCAAATAAAGCTTTCTTCTTAAATTGTCCTCGAAAAGTCTGACTTACATATGAGATCACGAGGAAGAGACACCAGAGAACTCTGGCCAGATGAGGACATGATAAGAAGTCAACAAGCCAGGAGGGAGGTCTTCACCAAGAAGCAAACAAACAAAGTGAGGATCTAGAACATTAATGCAAAGCTCTGAGCCATGGGCTGCACCATTAGACATTAGGTCAGCCATGGGCTTCACCATTAGCTATTAGGTGAGCCGTGGGCTGCACCATTAGATATCAGGAGGCCCTTTTTAGCTGGGAAGCTCCAGTGTCATATGTGATATGGTATGCCAAAAGCAACTTGGTCTTGTATGTTTATGTAAAACTAGAAGTCAAAGACATAACAGTTAAAACAGCAAGTCAGAATTTCCCTCTATTAAAATGGCAAAGATCAGGGCTGGAGAGATGGCTCAGAGGTTAAGAGCACTGACTGCTCTTCCAGAGGTCCTGAGTTCAATTCCCAGCAACCACCTGGTGGCTCATAACCATCTGTAATGAGATCTGGTGCCCTCTTCTGGTCATACATGCTGTATATAAAGTAAATAAATAAATCTTTAAAAAAATAAAAAAATAAAATGGCAAAGATCGATAATTATACTTAGAGTTAACGAAGACACAGGAAGACAAGCTGGTCCCCATGCTCGTTAGTGTTAGCTTTCTGGAGATTTTTATCAGCTACTCTCTCCCATCTACCTTATGAAAATTAGAACAGGCATGCAAATATTTAATTAAATGACTTAGTAATGAGCAAAAGCTATATCTGTAAACAAACTAAATGCATAATGGACACCAAATTGAACACACATATAGTTACACATGGAAACTACTGAACCGGATGGTTTGTTTGCCTCTGCAACTTCAACTTTCTCTTCTTTCTCCAAATTTTATGTCCTTCTCCATCAGAGGCCACATCAAACAGGTTTGCTGACCCTCTGGTTTCAGTTGGGTGAAGCAGAGAAAAAGCGTTAGCAAAAGACAGATGGTTTCCTGGTGCTGTCTCCTCCTTGGGTACTAACAGGCCAGGCCCCTTGCAGGCTGTAGCTCCGAGGCAGTTATGTTTGTCTCCTGAACTGCCCATCCCTCCAGGAGCTTCTCTCGGCTTTCTCTCCTGCACTCAGTCAGATCTAGGGACAGCAATGGCCTCCCTGCTGCCAGCCCTGCGGCCACCGAATTCTTTAAACCCTGTGTCCTCTAGTCAATCATTGATTTCAAGTAAGTCATCTATTTCCGGCAAGGCTCCTGACCATGCTGCCATAGACTCAGGTTTCTCTACTATACTGTAAAACAACGGCCCGGCTTGCCATAGTCAGTACCCTAATGAGGACCATTTACATTGTTTTCAACCGTACGGAGGAGGTTGGCCTCTGCCCCCAAGCCTGTGTGTGATCTCTCAGGCCTGACCACAGGCAATTACAGAATACATGGGAAAAAATCTGCCCTCCTACGCCAGACTTGGGGCACAGCCAAGGTACTGGGATCTCAGACAGGAGTCACTATCAAGGACTCAGGTCCCAGCTGGGCCCTCTGCATCTGCCTTCCTCACTCAGGTACCTCTCTTTGGGGGCCTCTCCACAGAGGCCGTTCCCAGGGACCTGCAGGGAGGCATACCTGATGCCACTCTGACTCGGCATTTAAGCATTTCTTACCTGCACCCTCTTCCTAGCTCCCAGATCCTAAAAACCTAGAGCCTCTAGTTCAGGGCTCCACTGGCTGGGACCCACTTGGCCTCCACCTGACACTGTTCAGTGGTAAAATGGGAACATGGGGATCCTGGGCTTTCTCTTGATTCATACCTTACTTATACAACAAGATGAATTAAAGGACTGCTGCTTTTCCTGGGCAGCTCAGCTCTCTTCAGTGACATTTAGTTTTTGAAATGCTTTGTTGCAGGCACTGGTAGGGTACAGAACAGCTTCGAGTTGTGCAAATACTCACGTTCAGGAAACTTTTATTTCAGTCAGGCACAAAGATGCATTGGGCAGGCAGGAGGCACGAGGGCTGATACAGACTACGATTGGGCAAGAAGAGTGGATTCTTGAATAACTTTTACCTTACTGTGCAGGAAGAAAAACTGCAAAAGCCTTTATACGGCTTCTAGCATTTTTCCTATTGTATGTGTGGTGTGGACACATGTGTGTCCAGGTGTGCACCCCCACGAGTGTGCATGCATAAACCAGAGGAAGGCAGTTCTATCGCTCTCCACTCTATTCTCTAGAGACAGGCTCTCTTACTGAATTGGGAGCCAGGCTGGTAGCAGCAAGCCTCCACAATCTTCCTGACCCTTTCACCAACAGTGCTGGGGTTACAGGCTTGCACAACCATGTCTGGCGTTTTACATGTAGCTAGGAATTCACACTCAGTTCCTCATGCTTGAATAGCAAAGGATCTTACCCACTGAGCCACCTCTCCATCCCCCTTTGGTTTATATTACTATTAATATTACGTCTTATCTCTTTACTTGGTGGAGGGTGACATGAGCCACAGCACGTGTGGGGATCCAAGGACAACTTGCTGGAGTCAAACCTCTCCTTCCATTATGTAGGGCTCAGGGATCCAACTCAGGTCTTGGTAGCAAGTGTTTATACCTACTGAGCCATTTGGCCACCTACCTTAGTTTTTAAATGATGTTTCTTTCTAACGGCCTTCATAAAAGTACAGAAACATTCCTTCTTTGACAGTGTTACACCTGTGCTGTGGGATGTCTTTCTGTTTGCTGTGAATATGTGTTGCTCTGATTGGCTGATAAGTAAAGCTGTTTGGCCAATGGTGAGGCAGAATAAGGTTAGGTGGTACATTCTAACTAGAGAGAGGGGAAGAAAGGCAGAGGAGAGGAGATGTCAGCTGCCGCCAAAGGAACAAAAACATGCCAGCAGACTGGTAAGCCACAGAAAACGTGGCAAGACATAGATTAAGAATTATGGGTTAATTTAAGAGTAAGAGCTAGTCAGTAATAAGCCTGAGCTAATGGCCAAAGAAGTTATAATTAATATAAGCTTCTGAGTGATTTTTTTTATAAGCTTTTAGTTTATTTGTTCTCTCCGAAATTGTACACCACCACAGATCAAATCACTGCAGATCTACTTCTTTGGCTGTATCCAATCTCCACTCACTTTTTGCCAGCACCAACATTGGCCTTTGCGGTGCCCCTGGCCTTCTTCATTCTGTTCTTGCGCTCCTTCCGCTGTTTCCGGGAGGTCGTCTTCTTCTCATAGAGGTCGTGTCTTGCCGGTCTGTGTCTGGGCTCCTTCTTCTTAGCATAATCTAGAGAATCGTAGATCATGCCGAAGCCAGCTGTTTTGCCGGCACCGAAGTGGGTCCTGAATCCGAACACAAAGATGACATCTGGTGTGGTTTTGTACATTTTGGCTAGCTTCTCCCGAATTTCAGTCTTTGGTACTGCTGCCTTCCCAGGGTGAAGGACATCAATAACCATCTGTTTCCTCTGAAGCAGACGGTTAGTCATGAACTTCCTGGTCCGGATCGTTACTGTGTCATTCATGATGGCCATGGTGCCTGAGCTGCCCAGGAGGAAAAGAGGACCACTCTCTGAGTGATTTTTTTTTTTTTATAAGTGACTACAGGACTGTGGGGCTGGACCTCTGGCTACACACTTGTAACTTCCAGACCATGTGAAATGTTCTGAAGACTGTTCTCAAAGTGTGAAAGTCTATTAGTCAGTGTTTTTCCTCTAAAACACTGACGTGTGGTGCTTACCTAGAAGGGGAGAGAGATACTATGATCACAAGGGCAGTCTTCTCACTCTAAGGCTCGCGCCCATTGTACTCTAGATCTGATAGCTCTGTCATTTCCCCACATTCAGATGTTGTGACTACATAATTTGTGGAAGCAGGGACTGTGTTCACACCTTCCTTTGTGTATTTTGTTATCTATGTTAGTTTTTTTTTTTTTTAAGTATACCTTCCATTTTATTTCTTCAAGGTGTTTTCCTTCTGTTCCTACAAAGCCACCTCTTTACACAGGCCTTGGTGGAGGTCATGGTGCGGCACCAGCAGGTCTAAATCATGGTGGGGGTGTTTGGTCCTTTCGGGTTTCACAAGATCAATTCCTGACACCTTGCTATGAATGGTATACCACCATATAGTAATGCAGCTTGACACAGAGTTTGGGAACCACATAAGCATCGAAGACACTTGCTTCGGATATGTCCCTGACAGCAGCGGCCTCTACAGTGTTCTGAATGATGAACTTCTTAATGGCCTTGCCCTTGGGCACATACTGAGCACAGTTGGTGCGGCAAATTGGATGCACATGGCCACGGCCCTTTTGGGTATGACTGTTGTTTCTTCTTTCGGTCATCTTGGAGCCAAAACCTGAAAGAGACTATGTTAGAAATTTCTTCTAGCTTTTTAAAATAAGGTGCCGATCACTGAGGGCACATGTCTGTCACCCCAATACTTGGGGGACAGGAAGACTGCAGCCTGGGCTACATTGTCAGACCATCTCAAAAAAAGAAAGCATTTAAATGTGTGTATACAGTTAAGAAGCCTTGGGTATTTATGACAGAATATAATATTTCTAAAGAAAATGAAAACAACAAAACACAAGCATGGACAGGATGTCATACGTGGGGCTAGTACACAGGGAAACAGTTTCCTAGAAGTGGATTGTTGATCAGAGTTCCTGCACAGCTTTGATAGGCATTGCCTAGCTGTTCTCTGCAGAGATACGCACAGTCTACCGCCCTCTGTGTTATGTGAGTGATGTCACTGACGAAGCAGAATGTCATTTTGTGGCCTCCCGTGTAGCTGCACTCTGTACTTGTGCAAGCATTTAATCCTATATTTTAAAAAACGAGAAAGCTCTTTAAATACTGATATAAAGTGTTCTCTCTGAAACCTAAAGCAAAGAAAGCACAGGGTAAAATTAGTTCAGTGTGCTGACATTTGCGCATAAGGAAGAGAAAAATAATTTGTCCTCACATCTGTTTATATGTGCCCAGAATAGCGGCAGGGTAGCACACGGGCAGGGAAAAGCCTGAAACTTTGGGGAGCTTGGAGCAGGGGGGAAGACAAGGTTTCTGTCACTGTTTTATGTCTTGTGACTACTTTACATATTTCCCTACCACCAACATTAAAAAAGGATAATTTTGAAAATAAAAGTATTTTAAAAATAGTCTTAAGTCATTATAAAAGAATGCATATTTAGCGACCTGGGCAATGTTGATATGAGCCGCTGAGAGAAAATAGCAGGTTATAAGACAGAAGTGTCCATATAATCCGAAGCTAGCAAACACAGCACACAGGGAAAGCACGCTGGGAGGGTATAATCAGGACCTTGAGTGATGATCTCCGGGTAGCAGAATTCCGTTGTGTGCCTTTCCCTACTTTCCAAATGCTCTGCTTTGAAAACATTACTTTCAAAGCCAAAAGAGAACACCAGTTTTGAGAAGCTGGGGAGGTAGCTCGGCAACAGAGTGCTTGCCTACTAGGCCCAAGGTCCTGGGTTCAAGCCCCAGCACTGAAAGGAAAACACTTAGCAGAAAGACAACACAAATGAAACACGTCCCCTCGTCTATTTATAAACGTACGGAAAAGCTCCAAAAGAACAGCATAAACAATCCCCATAGCGATTGTTTCAAATGAAAGAAGCTGGGCTGCTGAGACCGCTCAGTGGGTGAAGTCACTTTGCCGCCATGCTTGACGACCTGAGTTCAATCTGCAGGTCTCACGTGGTTAAGGAGAGAATCACGTCTCATGAGTTGTATGTGTGCACGTGTGTGTGCACACACACAAACATAAATAATGCAATAAAAATTTTAGAAAGAAGCTACAGAAGAGTGTTTATTGCCAATTCCACACACGCTCACACAAGGGAAAAGCTGTGTGTTGCTATGAAACCAGAAAAGCTGCTAGTTAGGTGTGCATGGGGGCCAGGTTATGATCGCAAAGGGGCTTTAGACAGTGTTCTGGGCTGCTAGGAATACTCTGCCTTGATCTGGGGATGGTGATACGAGTGCATACATATCTCCAAGTTCCTTGACTTCTACACCTAAGATGTGGGCACTTTACATACACCTTTCTTTTCAAAGTAATTCTAGAAGGATTGATGCCCACACACATCCACAGAAATGTATTATGAGAGTTATATATGCATCTCAAATATCATACTGAGATCAGACAACTGGAAAGAAAATGGAATCTTGACTCAGAAAGGCCTGGGTTCGAATTCCAGTCCTGCCACTTATGATCTCTGTGAATGTGAGCAAGATTTTAACCTCCCTGCCTTTGCTTCCTTATCTGCAAAAAAGGGGAGCAGTGATCGGTTTCCCCTCCCAGGACTGTTGTAAGAATGTGGTATCCTTTAAAGTACCCATGGATTGCAGTAAGCACTCAATTAAAGTTCCTTCTGCCAAAAGAAAACAGAGAAATTCTCTTTTCAATACCTAACTGCCATCTGTGGGCACCCAATTGCATACACATGTACACATGTGGAGTTCACAAGAGTCTCCACAAGTGCCTCTATTGTGACCACTGGCCCAGTTTACCAAGAAACAAACAAAACAGATGGTAAAATTCAGAGTTTAAAAAATAGTAAAGCAAAATTGAGGCCAAAATATGTTAAGATATGCATTTTTTTTTCAAGCATGGTGGTTCATGTCTATAATCCTAGGATTTAGGACTGTGAGGCAGGAAGATCACTATGAGTCTGAAGCCAGTATATGCTACATAGTGAGTTCAAGTCTTGTCATCGAGGCTTATGTCTTTTTTAAAAATCCAAAAGAAGTGCACATTTGGATTTGCACAAATTTTTTTTGAAGTTTCTAATGGAATTTTCAGAAACCCAAACAGCTAAGGAATGTTTTCACACTGGGAACCAGTATTTCAAATGGTCACTTAGAATCACAGATGGAAAGCTGGAAAGCACATTGGAAAACTGACCAGTCTGCAAGTGCAACTGTCTTCCTTTGTAAGGGTGTCCACACCAACCAGTAACGTTCAGTGAACAATGTTAAGTCTTTGTTTCTAATACTAGTAAGTTCTGAGGATCCTTCTGCTTGGGCCAAAGGGAGGAAAGCAGTCATAACGCCATCATCAATAACTAGTCAAAAGTGCTCTCCTGGCCTAGGGAACAAAGCATGTCAATGGCTCAGTGGGTAAAGGGGGCAAGATGCTCAAGTGAGTATGTAATTGATAGGTACATGAATGCCAGGTTAACATGTGAGCTGTACTAAGTGATGATGAAAATTCACAAAACAGGTTCTGCAGAAGCACCCACTGGTACATGGTGTGTGTGTGTCTGTGTGTGTGTGTGTGTGTGTGTGTGTGTGTGTTTGTATACTTGTGGAGGGAGTCTGTGCCTGTGAGTATATGGAGGCCAGAGGAGGGCATCAGATCTCTCAGAGTTGGAGTTAGGGATAGTCACAGGATGCCTCAATTGTTACATGAGACCTGGGATCCAAACTTTAGTCCTCATGGTTGCACAACAAACATTCATAACTCCTGAGCCATCTCTCCAGTCCTGAGGACACAATTTGTAAGGAAACTATTTGGAGATAAATTCAAAATTCCCAGAAACAGCAAGACAAAGATCTTTTACAGCCAATGTTTACAATTTTAGTTTCTACCACTAAAAATAAATAGCTTACTTGTCTGAGATAAACAGAGCTGGGAGCTGTACACAGTAGAAGCATGTAAATCTCATGCCAGCCAGGAACATTAACAACAGTGTCATACACCCACACATACATCATAGTTCCCATTTGCCAGCCACTACTCTAAGTACCTTTTCTACATTGAATAACTTAAGGAATTACTGCTTCTACTTTATAGATGAAAACCAAAGACTAGAGAGATGGTGTAACCTTCCAAAGCTGCATAGATAATAAATGGCTGAGCTTCTGTTTAAATGGCCTCTGGCTTCTCTATGTCCTCACTACCAAGTTGTTGTTGTTTGTTTCTTACTTGTAAAAGTAACCATCTTATTCAATAAGAAACACAGAACCAATGCAAAGATGAAAGCCCAAGAGGTCAGAGCTAAGAGCCTTACCCTTCACTCTGCAGCTGTCCTCTTCAGCCAAGAGAGCTACTTCCTGTGTGTTTGTCTTTATAAAGACTTTCTGTTCCGCCTTCTCATTGGTTGTAAACCCAACCACATGGCCGCCTCGTCACTGCCTGTCTGTACAGACCTCGAGGTCTTCTATGGTTGGTATTGAGATTAAAGGTGTGTGTCTCCATGCTGGCTGTATCCTTGAACACATAGAGATCTGCCTAGTTCTGCCTCCCAAGAGCTGGGATTAAAGGAGTGCACCACCACCGCCCAGCTTCGGCTATGGCTTGCTATTAGCTCTGACCCCCAGGCAACTTTATTTATTAACATACAAATAAAATCACATTTCAGTACAAATAAAATATCACCATACTTATTCTTTTTAGGGGCCCTACCATCCAGCTCCCAGATAAACCACACATGGAGGCTTATTCTTATTTATGAATGCCCGACCTTAGCTTGGCTTGCCAGCTTTCCTTAACTTAAATTATCCCATCTACCTTTTCCCTCTGGGCTTTTCCTGTTCTCTTTCTTCTGTAAATCTTATTATTACTCTGTGGCTTGCTGTGTAGCTGGGTGGCTGACCCCTGGAGTCCTCCTCCTTCTCTGGCTTCTAGATCTTCTGTCCCAGATTTCTCCGTCTATATATTCTTTCTGCCTGCTAGTCCAGCCTATCCTTTCTCCTGCCTTGCTATTGGCCATTCAGTTCTTTATTAGACCATCAGGTGTTTTAGACAGGCACAGTAACACAGCTTCACAGAGTTAAACAAATGCAACATAAGTAAAAGTAACACACCTTAAAATAATATTCTACTACACCAGGCTCTCGAACCAAGACAGCAATTGAAGTAAGCTCAGTGCAAACA